CAGCTACCAAGCATTTAGATTTACCCTTCTGCCAGGCATGTTTATTGGACTCTACACATCGGGCCTCAAGCTTGGTCAACTGTTTGACACTTCCGGCCATGATCTCAACTGCTTCGGCAGGTCGGATGCTCGGAGAAGGAGCTTGGTCGGCATCAGGTTGCTCACACATCAGTGTTTCACGCGCAGGGAAGTTCAGGATGTTGATCATGAATTGACCTGCACTGTTGACTTGCAAGATTTGTGGCTCACCTCCGTTCAAGGATAAAGTGCCCTCACCAAAATCCAGTGTGGCTCCAAGGTTCTTCAGGGTGGAACGACTGAGCAGCAAGGGGGCCGGCCCACTCTTCTTTGTTGTTTCCAAAGGCAAACAAATCGTTCTGTCTGCGAAGGCATGGCAGCTCGATCCCCTTTTCTCATACAGCCTGAACAGCTCATTGAGTGTTGTTTGACCAGTCAGCGTCTTGCTACAGCCAGAATCGATAATACCAAAACCAAGGCTAGAAACCAGCGAATATTCAGACAACATCATGGTTCATTCAACGGCTGTCCCTCCACCAACGCAGCTCCATTTGCCTGACCTGATCAATCAGATGAGCTCGCACTGCTCTTGCCCTTGCCTTTTGCCATGGTGCATTCTCTGGCCCAATGGCCCAGCTTGTTGCATTTGCGACAACGAATGCGCTTCTTGACCTCGGAGAGATTCTCCTTGAACTGGTGTTGAATCTTGGACACTTGTTTAAAGTTCTGGGTCTTTTGCAGGCGCGCTATCTCATTGCGACGATCTTTCCAGTTGGCAGCCAGGATCTCTGCGGATTCAGCTTCATCAAATTCACCAGTGAAATCTTCGGCTTGCACACCGTACTCAGACAGAAAAGCTTCCACCTCTTCGAAGACGATAGAGTCACCTGGTTTGGCATGATGGAACTCGTCCTCATGAAAACCATGAGGGGGATCAGCCAGAAAGGCGGCATTTCACTTCTTCGCTTTGGTTGATGCTACATAGTCTGGAAAGCAGGGGCGCATGCTTGAAACCGCTGTCTCAAACTTGAGATTTGCACCGGTTTTGGCCACCACTATGGCCCGCTGATCTGAGCTAAGACCTGAGCAGTTCAATGTGATCCATCCACGCGCTTCAGCAGGATATTTTACTGACTTGGCGACGACACTTTGAGAAGGATTCCTGCACTCTGCTTGTCCACTCAGCCACTGACTCTCCTTCTTTGGCTTGAAGAGCAAATACTTCACGCAAGCATTCGGCCAAGTGATCATGCTTCAGCTTGTCAGGGAATCTCTCCTCCAGCAATGTCCAGATCCTTTCATCACCATCATCGGCGGTGAGCTGCTCTATGGTCATGTGCTCCACAGTCTCCAGCGCCAATCCATCTAAGAGTGTAAACACCCAAGGACCGCGCTGTTTCTTGTCCAAGTCTTTCAGAGAAGCCATTTTGGCTTGACACCAGAGCTTCCATTTCCTCAGCTCCTTGCCATCCAGAGCTTCGCCAGAAAACGCTTGAATTGCCCGGAGGCACCATCGGATTTCGCTTCCATGGCGCTGCTTCCTATGCCCTAGTTCGCCTGAACATGCGGGCGCCCTCTTTGGGGCTCCGCTACCAGTTTAAAAGGATAAACTGGTTTCCAACTCCTATTGGAAAAGGTCGGCAACCCTGCGCCCAACGAAAGCCTGCTTGCTGCTTTTTCCTCCTGGAACGAGTAAGTCGGCTACAGCATTCGATCCATGCTGATGTGACATCTGACCCAATGGGATGGCACTGCTTCTTAATATTTCTATAATATTTTATACTTATATATATATATTTAAATGGTATATGATATATATATATATATATGTATATACATGTACTATAATATATATATATAGTATATTATAGTGTATATATATATTTGGCTGGGGATGGCTAGAGGGCCATGGCCTTTTGGACCATTTTTTGTGCATGTAGGGTTTGCGTGTGTACTGGAGGATCTGTGCGGTTTGTGCACAAACGTTCATGTTACCTCGGGTAAACATCTGATGATTGTGATGCTACGCTACGTCGCTGCTGGGGTTGGGTGGAGTGGGGTGGGCTAATAATGTTCACGCTACGTTTCATAGGTATTTGCATGGTGCTATTTTACAGATGGGTTTTGGGGGTTGGGATGTGGTGGAGTGGGCTAAAAACGTTCATGCGACTCAGATCATGGATCGATGATGGTTGTCACTAAAAAAACATTGTTGCCAAAGACACACCCGCTGAACAAATCTAGAAATGGTTCTGCAACAAACCACAAAATGGAATAATTGTTGGTTCAGTGCCTTCGGCGTTGTCATGTCTGTGCTGAACAAAATTCTGAACAGTTTATGCATGTTGTGTCCTGAATCTTTGATAGATGATGGTGATGATGATAATGATGATGATGGTGGTGGTGATGGTGGTGATGATGATGATGTTGATGATGATGATGATCATGATGATGATGATGATGATGTTGATGATGATGATTC